CATTCTTTCTATGAGGGTTGCGCTTCACTAAATAAAATGATTTCATAAATACCTGTTTACAATAAGCACTTATTCGCGTGTACACAGGAGAAAGTTTGAGGGTGCACACACGTAATATCTGATCAGCGCAGAGCCATGATCACTATATATATATATATATATATATGGGAGAGCAAGCCCGCTGCAAGCCAAGAGATTCGTGCTGGCACCCTCTCGTATTACAATAATGCACTCTTTACATTTGCCATTAAAATAACTCCAAAAACAGCTTCAAATGAACTATGAAAACAAGAATAAAGTCGTAAAAGCTGCAATCCATTTCTTATTGGTTAAAATGAACGGAGACTATCTCGTGTTTTTCTGTGGGTGCTCAGGGATCGGCGCCTATGCCCTTAGCACTTTCTTAAAACCTCCCAGCTTTTCTGCCGTCTTTTCACACAAAACAAAACTACTCTGCGTGATGTGCGCACATGAGACTGTTACTTAAAACTGTGCTTTATGCTACAGTATTTATTTATCATCAGTTGTTCAAATCGTGGTAATCGAATACAGTTATAATGATAATTAAAATATGAAACGGTAATACTAACCGTGGGGAATTTTATCATGATTTATCGTCAAACCGGTAATCGTTACATCCCTACTCAAACCTGCCAATCTAAAGAAAACGCTGTGTATGGCGTTTGAGGTAATTTATGAATTACCATAGACTTATAGTCTAAATAAAACAATTTGCAACTATTACTGTTATTACACTTGCATACAAAACTTCGCATTATGCTTGTTATAGAGTGCGTGACATCACATGCACTACCGCTGGTGGCAGTAGACGGTTGTCACAGCGACCGTCACAGCCCTAATATTCATTAAAATAATTCATTTTACCATGGTGAATTAGCCAAGGGTAATGGTTGTTCTGGGTGACTGCCACTAGGGGGAGAAATGCGACAATTGTATCCAAATGTCGGAGACAGTGGAAAGGTGGCTTAAGTAAGTGGAAGATGGCAGGGCTCGGTAAAGTCCCATTCAGCCTTAGTTTTACTGCTCAGTAACAAAACATTTGCTTAGTTAATATAGATGTATCTTGTGTGTTTTTCACATCTCACAGAGATCCTTCTGTTGGCTTCTGCAGTGAAGGACCTGTGCAGCAACACCAGAAAGGCCCGGACCGCTCTTTGGTGTGCATTGCAAATGACTTTGCCCAAAACAAACAGTTACCTAGAGGAGAGAGACGAGATGGGTACCTGCTCCCCTTTAGGTCAAGACAGTCCTGAGCAAAGCAGCTTGGAGAGAGCACTGACTACCCTGTGATCACTTTCCGGCAGGTATACATTTTTTTGTGTGTGTCTGTTTTTTGACACAAAGTAACATTGATCTAACCTGTCGAAAAAGCCACAAGAGGTGATGGGATTGCATTTTAAGAAGAATGAATGAGTTATTTAAGTTATTCCACTAAAGTGATACGTTAGGCTCAGTTGTGGGCAGCAGATGGAATTCTTAGTTCATTAATATTTATCAGTCTTCTGTGAAAACCACCAATCAGATTATAATCAAATTCTCCAAAACACATGGAATTATGGCAGTAAGATCAGTACTAAGCTATTTTGTCCAAGGACCCCAGAAGAACTGCCAGTAAAAACAAGACGTTTTGAGAGAGTATGAACGAATGATTTAACAGTGACAGAAAGAGAGATGAAATCAGAAGAGGGACCTTTTAACTGGTTTATGGTGATAATGGAACAGAATGTATGGCAAGAGTAAGATCTGTGGCTTTAGAGGATAATGGGATATTTTCGCCCAGTTGACCTAGAAATGTATAAATAGTTAAACAGAAAGCAAAAATTATTTGAGTTCAAGTTTTTTTTTTTTTGACAGTTTAATTAGTGTCTCCTACAATCTATTCAAAATCCTCAGCTAATTTTAGGTCCAGTGATACACACATTCAGGTAACAACAGTATTTATGATCAACAGGACGTGTTCCAGTTGTCCTTTTATTATTTTACTTATTTATAAACATGATTCTTTGGCATCAGTACTTGGTTTTTAGTGGTCTCCCTGGATAAGCAATGATAATCGCAAATCTTTCCTAAATCGGTTTTGTTTTTTGGAAAATTTGAAAGTGAATTTATTTATTTGCAATTTGTTTATCTCAATTCTGAATTCAACTCAGTATTTCATTCTCTGTTTTTCCATGTATGTATGTATGTATGTGGTCAATCTGTCTTATGCAACTCGTTAGAAGATCTATTGAGTAGCTGAGAGTAACATCATTCATGGACTGAAATAAATGATGTCAACGACATGCTATTAGAAAATGCTAGACTGATATAGTTCATGACGTGTACTCGTATTGCTTTTGTTTCTTTGCTTATGCTTTTGTTGAAGTTTAACAATTAAACTAAAACACAAAATCCCAGAACTCACAGAGTGGTGCGTAAAACTACTGTTTATTTAATTAATCATTGATTCAAAATACAATGGTAATCAATGCTCTAATTAAACAAAAAATGCAGATCACAGTCTGTATAAAACGAAACCACTGGTAAAATCATTCAGTAAAACTACAGTGAGTTTGACTGTTATGATAAACTTGCCAAAACCAGTTGGTTGGCTGAGTTATGAAAACCATTTGTAAACAAGTTCCTCACTCTCATTCAGTTCTGAAAATCCTAAACATTTACCCAGCAAATAATAAATTTTTCCTTAAATGCCCACTGATATCAAGCAGTTGAGACTTAACAGAATAAACATAAACTGAAGAGTGTACCTTGCTAGATGATTTCCATTATAAAATCATTTGGATATTTTTCATGTTTGACACCTGAATATGGCCAAGATTTGACATTTAAGTTGTGTTGATGTAAAGAAAACCATCAGAGGTAAGCGAAGCAGTGTTTGGATAGATGAAAACAGTTTCACCAGTCATCAGTGTTTAAGAGTCCGAGCTCTTATTGCATAATAATAGAAGATTCATTGAGAAATTATAACATCTTCAGCAATCGGCAGTGACACCCAGAGTTTACAAGCAAAGTATAGCTTCTGATGTTCCCTTTAAATCAAACTGAGTCTGTAGGATAAAAAAAAGCATCTACCATTTGCCTAACAACATCAAATTTAAAAACCGCACCTTGTGGCTGTGGTAGAAAACCTAGTTATATTAGTCAAGAGTGAACACATTCATTTACACAGCTCAATTTATTGTACCAATTTCAGGATATTTTTGAGTACAAAATGTTAAATATTGTGGCTCTGATAAAAGAATGTCTCAATCACCTGATCTTACAAGTTAACAGACACGATCCCCCGGTTTCAGACAAGGCTTAAGCCTAGTCCCAGACTAAAACGCATGTCTGGGCTGTTTTAACTGAAAGAAACTTGCGCAGACATATCTTAAAATATGTCAGTGCCATTGTTTGTCTCAAGATGCTCACAAGTAATGTTATTTTCTAAGGCACGTTTATAAAAGATACTTAAATGTCCTAATTGAACTATGGCCTAATCCTGGCTTAACCTAAGCCCTGTCTGTGAAACCAGGCCTAAAGGTTTAAAGATATTGGTTTGCCTACAGTGCAACCTAATGTAATATATGAGAACAGAAGGCAGTCCACAAGGTAATTGGCACAATATGTAGCAGCTTCAAATGAACAGTTGTCAATTGATATATATGTGCACACATACATACCCTTCTCACTTTAGGTTCATCACTGTCCTACAATAAAAATAAAACCACAATTTAGACAGAAACATCTACCAAGGGCAATAAACATAAAACTACATATGTCGCCCCTCGCCTTCTCTCCACACTGATTAGCAGTTATGTTTCTCTGTCTTTGGGTTGTCTCTGAGCCCTCCATATATTGCTACATGACGAGAAGGCTTCCGTTGGTTTCTGAAAAAGCTTGTGAGCTGAATAAATATAGATATGTTTTTATGTCTTGAGCTGTGTGTTAAAAATCACTGGAGTGCTACTGAGGAGCAGCCTATGGAAAACATGTAAAAACACAGGTTCACAGGTTATTTGAAAGTCCCTCAAGGCAATAAGATGGGGATTTATGCTGTTTTTAGACACAAGCATGTTGGTTATCCGCTGGTAAATGTTAGAGAGTGAATTTCACTTTTAACTTTTCTAAACATGTTAAAAAGTGAATCTCATGGAAACATGTCCAGGTCACTTTAAAAAAAAAAAAAAATATATATATATATACACACACACACACCAAAAAGAAAATGAAGCATGTTTTAGGATTATGAAGATATTTTGCATAGCCACGTTATTTTCAATTTACAATTAAAATATTTATGTAATACAGTAATGACAATTAGGGGAAGTGGTCTTTAACCAAAAATTTTAATTATGGTTTTTGGGTTGAAATGCAACCTGAACATGGTTTTGACAGGTTGTGTGAGATTTACCTTTAAATGAGTAGCACAACAGTCAGCACCTGTAATAAATGAATGGGTCGTGACACAATTCTCACTCAGTTTGCTGGTTTTTGATTTGTTTTGTACAAGCCAAGAAAACAGCTAAATAGGCCCAACATTATCATTCAATAAGCAATATCGGACCCAAAACGTGATATGGATGCATATATTGTTAGTTGGGACACTGTTTGCTGAGGTCTCATTGCATTTTTCTCTTCTAGGTAAATGACCTTGGTATTGTATAGTCTGCGAAAGTTTTCGTGCTCTGTGTTTTCTGTCTATCTCTTGCGTTCTCCCTTCTGTGTGCGTTTCTTTTCTTTGTCCTTGCGTTCCTGCTTGGCTAGTTTGTCTTTCTCGCGTTGCATCTTGTCTTGTTCTTTCTTCTTCTGCGCGTCCTCTCTGGCCTGGTCACGCTGTTGTTTGCGGCGGTTCAAAACTTCCTCGACATTGGTGTTTTTGAACATGGCTGGGGCTGGCAGTGAAGGGAACAGTTCATGTAGATACAGATATTTAGTCTAATCAATGCAGATCATACTACAGCTGCTTCTACAACTGATTGTGTTTATTACACAGTAAAAGTGATGGTGTAAAAAAGGATACATTTTTCACTGGGAAGCCCCACTGCAGCTTGTTCTTCCTCATCATCTTCAGTACAAATGTTAAAGAAACTGCTTCACACTGGATCATCTGAACCCTGACCTTGAGAGAGATTCAGTGACGCGTTGTTCTCAACAAAGCATCATAGAAATACAACATTACAGCATATATGTGTTAAAAGGATATTCCTCCTCATCTGTGACATGAGCATACTGTGCCAGTAGAACCTCTTTCCTCTTCTTGGCCTCCTCTGACACCTCCTTTTGTTTGACCACAATCTGTGCCTGCTTCTCTATCAAACTGGCAATCGCCTGAACCTCATCTGAAAATAGAATAACCAAAGACAATTCCCCGCCCCCCCAAAAAAATATATATACCTTAAAAATCAAATGTTTACATCACTATTATCTTGTACTATTAAATAATACAGAGAATATTATGAAAAGAATGGGTTATACAAAAGTTGTTACACACAAAAAAGTGAGAAAATAAAAATAATAAGAATTTGTACAGCACTTCAACAGTTTGGGGTCAGTAAAATTGTTTTTGAAAAGCCTCTCATGCTCACCAAGGCTGCATTTATTTAATCAAAATACAGTAAAAATTGTGACATATTATTACAATATTAACTGTAATTCACTTTTTTATTTGAATATATTTTAATATGCAATTTATTCCAGTGATACAAAGCTGGATTTTCAGCAGTCATTACTCCAGTCTTCAGCGTCCTTCAGAAATCATTCTAATATGCTGATTTGCTGCTCAAGAAACATTTCTTATTATTATTATCAATGTTGAAAACAGTTGTGCTGCTTAGTATTTTAGAAACTGATGCCTTTTTTATTTTTTTGTAGTTCAAAAGTTTATTTGAAACCATTTTAACATTATGAATGTCATTACGGTCACGTTTGACCAGTTTAATGCTTCCTTGCTGAATAAAAGTATTAATTTCTTAAAAACAAAAATCTTACCACAAACTTTTGAACAGTAACGCATAGTGCAAACGTTTTTAGAATATGTAAACTCGGATCACTTGCACTGTTAAATGGGGTCACTTGTGAGTGTGACTGACCTTTTCTAATTTCAGCTCTCCACGCACTTACCATCTGCCTGAGTACCCTTGACCACAGATCTGCTGCAGCACTCAGTCCACTGTTTTAAGATCTGCTGGCAAACCTCCTCAAGCGTGTCTTCTTCCTACGAGAATAAAGCGAGCTCTCTTTACTAACACAAGCCTACATCGTTCATGCAAACGACTACAGTATTTGGATGGCTGCAGTGACTTCACACCATTAACACAAATCTCTCTCAGCACACACTTTACGTAAACCTACATTCAAATATAGTTTACATTTACAACATAAATGACATCTGAAAATAAGTTGCTCGTGTTCGATTATTTTTGATTAAATAACTTGGCAATAATGAACATAATACCAGTCAATGGCAACAGGCCATCAAGTTTCACACTTAAACTGCTCAAATGAAGGGCCAATTAAGGAATTCAGTTTATAATATATACATGTCTTTCTGGTTTATAATGAGTTTGTCACATCAATGGTAAAAGTGTACAGTCAGTGTTCATAACAGCAGAGTCACTCGTGTGAAATGTCTTGACAGCTGAGTTGAGCGTGCGAGCGTCGTGCATGAACATGCGCCTGCACTGACCAGAAAAGCTGAGAGAATGCCCTGAAGAGCATCCTTTTGCTCTTCATCACTTTCCTCTTCCTGAAGCACTCCGAGTATATACGCTCCATAAACTTCTCTGTCTACTTCGAGGGAGTCCAACCGCTCGTTCAGCCAGTTTTCAAACTCCCCGGCGACTTGGTTGGGTTCCGCCATCTTGCCTGGCTGGGGTCCTGATAGCGAGGGGGGATGACCGCACAGAATGCCAGACACAAATGCGTTACACTAACGTTCAAATGAAACATCCATACGCATCCTTTTCATTACGATAGAACTTGCGAACTTAGTTAATTCATTATTTATATTTAATATTTGTGTTTTTTACACGGGTAGATTAGATTTAGCTTGGTATTCATATAAGTGAGTGCCGTGTAGTACGTGTGAAAACCTTATTTAATGCTCATAATTTAAGCGCATCATGCTTTAAACATGCATTGTTTTTTATAAAGCACATGTCCTTTGCAGCAACATGAAATTAAAACAGTTGATTTTTAAACCAAAGCTCACCACTAGAGGGCAGTAGCTGCCAATTTACTACTGAAGGCGCATGTCCGGGTCCAGGTAAAGAATGCTGCTGTATTGAAAAAGCATGTGCAGGTAACTAAGCTTTTTGTATTTTAGCAATATATTAACACGTTAACATCTGGTTGTGGGCATTTATATGTTATACTTAATGTCTTTTTTTTTTTACTTAAGAATCATAATAAGGTTTAAAACCGGTGTATAAAATGAATAGATATCGCATCAATATGCTGAGGTCTACAAAATATTTTATAGAATGTTTAAGATTATGTCTATCATATTTGATGCATGAATTTCACAACTTTGCTGAAACACATGTTCCACACAATCTACTACTTGCTTCTTGCACTCTGACTGATAGTTCATACTTTTTTTTTAGTAAAATATCTTTTAGTATAATTCTAAAAATGTTGCACCCTCAGGTCATGGTACACACGTCCTTTTGCTGAGAAATCTTTAATACATTTATACAGTAAATGTAAAATCATGAAAAATAATGTTAAAATGTATGTACCAAATATGATACAACAGGTTTTTTTTTTTGAGGAATGTTTATGTGTCTCTCAATCATTGTATTGGATTGCATTATATGTTTTGCCCCTCAAAATCAAAACTACAGAGTTTTGATTATGAAGCTTTTAAATATTATCTTTCTAAGACATATTATTGGAAGATTATTATTGTGACAAATTGCACTTAAATATCAGTTGTCACTCTGTAAGTAGTCTGTATACTGTTGTAAAATATCACTGATTTACATACAAACTATCAGAATTTTATCTTACTTTTTGGCCATATAAATAACAACATCTGCACCAAATTACTGTACAATTTTTTTCTTCTTCTCTAAGTTTGGGCCTCTGACTAAAATTGAGGTGTTTTTCTTCCTCGAATGTAAGCTCCATATTCCTGCTATATCATACTATATGAACTATATGAACTATAAAAGCCGGATATATAGGCTAATACAAAACATAACACACATATGCACTTATTTTAGATTTGTGTGAAGGTTCAATAAATATTTCATAAAAAAATCCAGGAGACTGTATTTGAAGTGTCCATTGGTGTTTACAAGTCCCCTGTGTATCAAATAGTTTGTTCTGTGGTGTAACCAGAGAGAGAAAAAAAAAAAACCATACATCAGGCTTTAACAGAATTATTGTAAGGCATAAGTTCATCCAATGAACACAAACTAACACACATAAAGGAAGAGTGTAATGAATTTAACCTCTGTATTTTGTTTTTAGAAGTATTTTGAAGAAATGTGCTCATGTGTTTTCTCTTATTTAATTGTTTATGGTCTATCTGGTTGAGACACTATGAGAATCAAAAGTTTTTTTTTTTTTTTTTTTTTAAGAATTGAAAGACAAAGTTTGAGGCTCTTTGAGCATATAAGGTTTTAGTTTATATGACTGATACAGAGAAAACATGAGAGTGGAAAGATAAAATGTACTGCTTGATAAGGCCATTCCCAGGCACAAGGGTCCAGGGTCGTTGGTCTTGATGTTGCTTGTTGCTGTGGGCCACTATTTTAAGCACTATTTTTATCAAGGGGACGCAGACTGACACAAAGCGACAAGAGCCAGGGGCTGTGGCAGAGCGTGCGGGTGGGCATCGACATGCTCAGGTCCAAAGGCAAACACTCGTGCTCTCTCTGTCTCTCTTTCAGAGATATCTATCTCCCACCAGCCATCACTGAAGCCCCTCTGGGACCAATACTGTGTCCTCTCTGTCAGTATCCCGGCTATACACATCTGCATGTGACACAAACCTCCGGCTGCTTCGTGATCAGCGTGTGTGTTCTTGTGTGTGGTCGTGACTGTTTTCAGGGTGTCCTTAAAAAATATTCAAATGTATTACAGTCATGATTTATACATTTTGCTACAAGTTTGATTGCATCATATAATAATTGCTGTTAATAGTGTTCATCGTCTGTTTGATTACGTCTTTAATTGATTTTTCCGTACATTTCTGCCATATGTACATTAACTGACAATCACCACTGATAAGCTACCACTAAATATTGTAGAAACTTAATTTGCTGTAAAGTTGCTTTGCAACGATTTGTATCGTGAAAAGCGCATTAGTCTTAAACTTGAATTGAATTGAATTTATAATTTAAGGTGATGAAAGGTTAAATTTGTTAAATGTGGAGGTTTTAAATTGGAAATGAAAAGATAGGAAGCGCTTCTTATAATCATAAATGATTATGATTAAATATTACTTTCACTAACTAGATCTTTACAGTATTTTAGTTGTTACATCAAAATTTTCATCGTAATTTAAATAGCAGTTCAATTAAAGTGCAAATAAATTGAAATTAAAACTTTTTTTTAATTAAATTCCTGCAACTTCCTTCCTTCCTGTAGCTCAAACTGTAGAGCATGGCGTTAGCAACGTCAAGGTCATGGGTTCGATTCCCATGGAAAGCAAGAACTGATCAAATGTGTACTTTAAATGCAATGTCTTTGGATAAAAGTGCCTGCCAAATGCATAAATTTAAATTAGTTTTTTTTTCAGCCCTAATTATGAATAATATACAGTAGTTCAAATGACTACATTGATGAGATGTTTAAAAGAAGCCCCACTTTTCTCATTTAACATTTTTGATTATTATTGTTTTTTTTATGAAAATAAAAAGAATGGTAAAAATTGGTTTGAATGGTATTCCGTTGTTATTTTTTTTAAATTTGCATTGGAACGTCCTAAAAAATCATTAATTTAAACACGCAGAAGATATTATATTTGCTTTTTATTTGAATTTGCATGTGTGCATTTTCATGTAGTTGTGTCTGTGTGTTAGCTGTGCAAGTTCTGGCTTTATAAAGGACAGTCAGCAGTACAATAGAGATGCAGAAGGTCACATATGTAGCCATTTCCTGGCGTATGAAGTGGACGGCAGAGCAGAGGTTATCACTTTTCTTCCTCTGTCTTTCTCAGTGTGACAGCTCTGGCCTACACTATCTCTGTCCTCTTCAGACGCATGCGTCTTATCTTCAGTTTCACTCCATTCTCCAGAGCTGTCTTCCCTCAGCAAGGCAAGCAGTTCCTATTGTTTGGCCATCTTGTCTTATCGCTGCTCTGACCCCTCCTTTGGCTGTTTTCAGTTGTGTTTTACTCGTCAGTTGGTCTCGGCAAACCGGCAAACCGAGACACTGACAGCAAGAGCAGCTTGTCTAATGGAACCTCACTCTGAGGAGAAAATAACAAACAAACAATAGAGGAAGGAGTAATTCAGGAAGAGAGGTTGGGGAGTGAATAATTTTAATTCACTTTTTTATTTGAATATATTTTAATATGTAATTTATTTCTGTGATGGCAAAGCTGAATTTTCAGCAGTCATTAGTCTTCAGTGTCACATGATACTTCAGAAATCATTCGAATATGCTGATTTGGTGCTTAAGAAACATTTCTTATTATCATCAATGTTAAAAACACTTGTGCTATTTAATATTTTTGCAATATAAAAAAAAACATCACTGACCCCAAGTTAATATATATATATATATATATGTATATATATATATACTTCTCTAAGATATTGCAATTCATTTACTTCTTTGTCAAGATTATTTATATAGTTCTTTTTATAAATATTGTTTCAAAACAATTTTTTAAATCATTCTTTAATGCGAGTTAAAGGCGACTGTGGAAAGGCAATACACTTTGTAAGATGTTTAGGTGAAGAGGGAGATGCCAAATATTATCTAATTATATTATATGCAATACCTGTCAAAATGGAACGTAAATAAAAAAATACAAAAAAAAGCCCCAGCAATCTCCTTAAAATTATTTTAGAAAATCCTTATCCCATAATCACTTTTTGTAATGCCACTTTTTTTTTAAATATCTGATTGTGAAATGTTTAAAGAAGGTAATTAAGTTTATGAAAGTAATGAATTTTGCTACATTACAAATTCATTGTTTACATGCAATCAAGCCTTTGACTCGCTCACTATCTCCTTAAAATTATTTTAGAAAATCCTTATCCCATAATCACTTTTTGTAATGCCACTTTTTTTTTTAAATATCTGATTGTGAAATGTTTAAAGAAGGTAATTAAGTTTATGAAAGTAATGAATTTTGCTACATTACAAATTCATTGTTTACATGCAATCAAGCCTTTGACTCGCTCACTGGTGGCTTAAAGATTTTGAAGCACATTTCCTGAAAAGCTGCTCTCTAGGGCCTAAAGACAGAGATATACAACTCAAAAAGTGTGTAGTTTAAGTATTCAAATTGAGACGCAGTAAGCGTCTATGCTGAGAGCAAACGTCGAGACAAAACTAGAATGTCCCCGTTATAATTAACAAAGCTGCTACATTGCATACTTATAGTGTAGACAGCTCTGTTGATTATAATTGAAGCACTTTAGTTTTGTCGTTTCACATGCTAGACTATGAGAAGCAAAAAGGGTTGGACGGAAGAAGAAAGATAGAGAGGAGGTCGGAAGTAATGAGGACCTAATTAGCTTAGATTATAGAAACGGTGATGACAGAAGTGCCTGTGAGAGATATAGACACGAGCACACACACACATAACCACGTACAGAGATGATGGCTGGGGTCAAGTGGCTGGGAGGATTAGTTGGAGTGTGTGGCAGGCAAATCTCAACTGGCCCTCAGAGGCGGAAAAGTTCACCGCAACTTTGGCTCCCTGC